ATGATTTGGAGTTACAAGCCATCGTTCAAGCATTGAAGATTTGGAGGTTATCTCTATGGTGTGTCTTGTGAGGTACTTACGGATTATCGGAGCCTCCAGCACTTGTTCAAACAAAATGATCTAAATTTGAGACAGTAAAGATGGTTGGAGCTGCTAAAGGACTATGGTATTACCATTTTGTATCACCCTGGGAAGGCCAATGTGGTGGCTGATGCCTTGAGTAGAAAGGCGGTGAGTATGGGTAGCCTTGCATTTATTCCTGTTGGTGAGAGATCGCTTGCAGTTGATATTCATGCCTTGGCCAACCAGTTTGTAAGATTATATGTTTCAGAGCCTAGCCGGGTTCTAGATTGTGTGGTTTCTCGGTCTTCCTTATATGATTGCATTAGAGAGAGCCAGTATAATTATCCCCATTTGCTTGTCCATAAGGACACAGTTCAACACGGTGATGCCAAGGAGGTTACTATTGGGGATGATGGGCTACGTGAGTTAATCCTTGAAGAGGCCCACAGTTCACGGTATTCCATTCATCTGGGTGCCACAAAGATGTGCCAGGACTTGAAGGAGAATTATTGGTGGTGGAGGATGAAGAAGTATATAGTGGGGTTTGTAGCTCGGTGCCTAAACTGTCAGCAAGTGAAGTATGAGCATCAGAGATCGAGGGGATTGCTTCAGAGGCTTGAGATTCCGGAGTGTAAATTGGAGCGTATCACCATGGATTTTGTAGTTGGGCTCCCACGGACTTCGAGGAAGTTTGATGCTATTTAGGTGATTGTGGATTAGATGACCAAATCCGCGCATTTCATTCCAGTTGGGACCACTTTATTCTTCAGAGCAGTTGGCTGAGATCTATATCCGCGAGATTGTTCGCCTTCACGGTGTGCCAGTGTCTATCATTTCAGATCGGGGCACGCAGTTTACATCGCAGTTTTGGAGAGCAGTACAATGAGAGTTTGGCACATGTTGAGTTGAGTACAACATTCCATCCTCAGACGGACGGACAGTCCGAGCACACTATTCAGATATTAGAGGATATGTTACGCACTTGTGTCATAGATTTCGGGGGTTTTTCGGATCAGTTTAAACCTCTTGCAGAGTTTGCCTACAACAACAACTACAATTCAAACATTCAGATGGCTCCGTATGGGGATTTGTATGGGAGACGGTGTCGGTCTTTGGTGGATTGGTTTGAGTAGGGTGAGGCTACACAATTGTGTACTGATTTGGTTCAGGATGCTTTAGACAAGGTTAAGCTGATTCAGGATTGGCTTCGCACAGTATAATCTAGACACAAGAGCTACGCTGATCCGAAGGTTTGTGATATTGCTTACATGGTGGGGGAGAAGGTACTACTGAAGGTTTCACCCATGAAGGATGTTATGAGGTTCAGGAAGAAGGGCAAGTTGAGACTTCGGTGCATTGGTCTATTTGAGGTGCTTCAGAGGATTGGAGAGGGGGCTTACAAGCTTGCCTTGCCGCCTAGTCTGACGAGTATTCATCCAGTATTTCATGTTTCTATGCTCCGGAAGTATGTCGGCAATCCGTCTCATGTTTTGGACTTCAACACGGTTTAGTTGAATGGTGAATTGACTTATGATGTGGAGCCGGTGGCCATTTTGGATCGGCGAGTTCGAAAGTTGAGGTCAAAGAACATAGCTTCAGTGAAGGTGCAGCGGAGAGGTCATCCAATTAAGGAGGCTACTTAGGAGACTGAGCGGGAGATGCAGAGAAGATATCCACATATATTTGAGACTCCAGGTATGTTTCTAGACTCATTTGAGGATAAACATTTTTTTAAAAGGGAAGGATGTAATGACCTAGCCGGTCATTTTGAGCGTTGTAGACCCGTTCCCTATTTACTGCTCATTCTATGCTAAATTGTTGTTATGTGACTTGTCGGGGTAGTCAATTCGGTTCCAGAGATGTTTCGGAATGAGTTGAGACACTTAGTCTTAAGATTGGATGCTTAAGTTGAAACAACAACAACAACATACCCAGTATTATCCTACACCGTGGAGTCTGGGGAGGGTAATGTGTACGCAGACCTTACCCCTACCTTGTGAGGAAGCTTAAGTTAAAAGGTTGACCAAATGTTGACTTATGTGTAAATAGCTCCAGGATGGAGTTTTAATGGTTCTGATAGCTTCGTTGGGTGATTTTGGACTTAGGAGTGTGTCTGGATAGTGATTTGGAGGTTCGTAGTTGATTTAGGCTTGAAATGGCGAAAGTTGAAAATTTAGAAGGTTTGGAAATTGAGAAGTTTGACAGAGAGTTGACTTTGTGGTTACCAGGCTTGGATTTTGGTTTCGGAAGTTGGAATAGGTATGTTGTGTCATTTATGACTTGCGTGCAAAATTTGAGGTCAATCGGACTTGATTTGATAGGTTTCGGCATTGAATGTAGAAGTTAGAAGTTCATAAGTTCATTTGGCTTGAATCGATGCGCAATTCATGATTTTAGCGTTATTTGATGTGATTTGACGCCTTCGAGCGAGTTCGTATGATATTTTAGGACTTGTTGGTAGGTTTGGCTGAGGTACCGGGGGCCTTGGGTGGATTTCAGATGGCTAACACAGTGAAATTGGGACTTGGAAGATTACTGAAGTTAGCTGGTGTTCAGGTCTGGTGTCCTTCTATGCGATCGCGTGGAGAGGTACGCGATCATGAAGGCTTGTTTTGGGCATCTGGAGTTTTACTCTACGCGTTCGAGAGTTGAGGGTTGTGGACACACAGGTTAGTGAAGCAGTGAATCGCGAACACATAGGCTAGGCCACGTTCACGAAGGGTAAGTGAGGCAGTTGGATTCCGCATGGGTGTTATTCGCGATCGCATAGCTGTGTCTGCGATCGCATAGTTTTGAGGAGGCAGTGCTTCGCGTTCTTTTATAGACTGTCGTGTTCGCGTAAGGTTAATTCTTGGGCAGCTGAGTTTGTGCTTCACGATCACGATTAAGGGATATCTGGGCAGAATATTAAATCTCAAAAACGAGGGTTTGAGTTCATTTCACAAATTTGATTTTGGGAGCTCGGATTGAGGCGATTCTTGGTGAGATTTTCAAGGGAGTGATTGGGGTAAATGATTCTTACTTAGTTTTGATTAAATTTCATGATTATATATTTAATTTAATTATTTAATTAGTGATTCGGGTTGAACAATTGGGGGAAAATGGAGAAAACTTCTTAGGCCGGATTTTGGGGATTTGAGCGAGATTTTGGTATCGGATTTGAGTAATTTTGGCGTGGTTGAATGAATGTTCGGATTTTGTAACTTTTATTGGATTTTGAGATGTGGGCCTGGGGTTGACTTTTTGACTTTTGATTAAGAACTTAGAATTTCTATACGGAATTAATTCCTGTTGGTTGAGTTGATTGTATCGGATTGTTTGTGGCTATATTCGAGGCATTTAGAGGCCGACTCGCAAGTTAAAGGCTTGTTGGAGTAGAGAGTTGCACTATTTGAGGTAAGTAATATTTATAAACTTGGTTCTGAAGGTATGAAACCCTAAATTACGTGTTATGTGATTGATGTTGAGGTGACGCACATGCTAGGTGATGGGCGTGTGAGCGTGCACCGTAGGAATTGTGACTTAGTCGATTCCATTGAACTGTATGGTTGAATAATCTTGTTTTTATCCATATATTCTCCATGTGCTGGAGAAATTGAGCTTTGAGTTATGTTAGAAATCATGCTTAGTCTACATATTGGTATTGTTGTCATGTTACATGTTGAATTATTTGCTTAAATTGTAATTATGTACTCAATCACAGCTATTATTTGCATATCATATCTCAGTCTCTATTGTCATTTATTGATACATCATATCATCATTGTTTGGGTTGATTATCATGATTCTTGTGAGCCCGAGAGACTAGAGAGATTGATGATTGAGTGAGGTCACATGCCTGATTTTGAGGATATTTATGCGATTGGGCTGCATGCCGCGGTATGCTTTTTTGATTTATGACATGATTGGCTTATTATAGCACTTGGGTTGGATCTGCCACTCCAGAGTCTGCACACCCACAATGAGCGCAAGTACCTATTGAGTGCGAGTGTCGAGTGATTGGGAGGAATGAGTGACTGTGAGGATGGAGTGGATGAGAGGACTAAGTGATTGATACTCTGAGAGTATGCATATGATTTCATCACTGTTTGCATTATAGTTGGCATACATAACTGACATGTAGACATCGAGATGTATCATTTTGCATTTCAGTTACACTTGACATATCTTACCTGTATGAGCTTTAACTGTTGAACTTGAAAGCATGCCTACATTTCTGCACTGTATTTATGTAACTAGATTGTACCTGTGAAGCTCGTCACTGCTTTCAGCCCAAAGGTTAGACTAGTTACTTACTGAGTTGGTTGTACTCACGCTACACCCTAAAATTCAGGTACTTACGGGTACGGTGGTTGCTGACTTTGGAGCTATTGTTCAGTTCGGAGATCCTCGAGTTAGCTGTTTTAGCATTCGCAGTTCTTGACTCTCCTTCTTTATCATTTAGTTCTATTGTACTACTTTTCCTCTTCTAGACAGTGTTTCAGACTATGTTACTGTATAAATGCTCATGTACTCAGTGACACTCGAATTTTGAAAAAATTCTGTATTGAGCTGTGACATTTTCATTCTGTTTTATGAGACTTTTACTTACTTAAACTTATTTCAATATAATTTGAATTTCAAGATGTTGGTATGTGTGAATTGTCGGCATGACTAGTATCATGATAGGCGCCATGCACCTGGAATTTTGGGTCGTGAACTCGAAACATGGGAGGACATAGAATTCAATTCTTTCCTAGAGAAAGAGAACGTAACTTTTTATTACTCATTCAGAAAACTGGTAGAAGCTTTTGTATCATCCCCAGCTTTTTAGTTGGATTTGTTTAAGAAAAAAAGAAATCTAAGACGCAAAATTAAACTTGGGTCTACGTTGTAACATCTATAAAAAAGAAGATGCTCAGCATCCCAAAGTACGTCAAACAAGGATGAACTCATACCAAACTGATCGAAGAAATCAACAGTTGCAGTATCAGAAATTGTACACGGGTGAGGGTACTCAAACTGACAAAGTTGACACGTGGCAATACCAAGATTTATTCCAGATGTTGTTTCTGGGTTGCTCTCCAATATAACCGGGCTAATTTCCATCTCAATATTTGGTTGATCGACAACGTTGTAGCAAGCTCCGTCTGTTTGATATAAACTCATAGTAGCATCCATCATTTGATTTGCTTCAAATGTAATACTATTGCTGCTGTCTGATGAAGAAACATGACCAGGTGATCGTTTGTCGGCGTTTGTCCTCTCATTTCCTTTGGTTTTCTTCAGTACCCTTTTATTGTCTCTTGCCCTACTCGTACTCTTCAACGGGGCATCATATTTCAGTCCCAAATGCTTCTTTAAGTGTGTGTGGAAGAAGTTTTTAACTTCGTTGTCTGTTCTTCCTGGCAATCTTGCTGCAATGGTTGACCATCTGGAGATAATAATACACAACGACTTCTATCACATATTCTTTTGGTTTATTAAAATTTCATTTTAAAAAAAAATATTCTTTAATAAAAAACACAAAGTTAGAACTCCGTCTCACCTATTCCCAAGTTCCTGATAAGTTTTGATTACTGTTTCTCTTTCTTCTTCTTCAATGCTAAAAGGTCCTCTCATAACATCAGGGCAGAGATAGGCGGTGATGTGCTCCTCAGTATCTGAAGTCCCATTATATTTTGACACGTCTGGCATTTTAAATCGCTTCGGAATCAATTCTGGTGTCGCGCTTGGTTTGTACGGTAATTGTGTGTACTTCTTTGAGTCCGACCATTTCAGCAATGGTGGTGCGCCCGAAATTTGATCCATTCGGGCGCTTACTTCCCTTAAAAATCGCACGAGTTCGATCTTAAAGGGATCACTCTCGTTGATATGACTGGATCCGCTCCCCCCGGCCCCATCGAAGCCGACCTCGCCTCTCGGGGTGTTGTTGTTGACCCTCTACGTCGTTTGGTTTGCGGGAGCACTGGGAAGAACTGGACCTCGTCTGTTCGCGTTGTTGGAAGCACCCGACAATGCCTGCTTCAGCCCCGTCATGACCTTATTCTGTCGTGTGAGATGGCCTATAATGGCCTCTTGTTGCTATTGCAAGACCCTGATTGCTTTGACGACGTGCTCTTCTTCAACATCATCACTGATTAAATCCTCGTGCCGAGGCTGATTTTCTTGGGCCTTAACATTGTGTATGTTGTTAACACCATTATCTGGCATTTTTAATAATTTTTGCTAAGAACAAAGAATCAAACAAGTTAGTAACTAATGGAGGGATCAATTCAATTACACGAGTATCCATGCCCCACGGTGGGCGCCAAACTGTTTACCCGTAAAATGGTACAGTTGAATTTATACGTAGTTTATAGACGAGTGAATTAATTTGATCCAAAATTAACAGATGAATTAGACAAAAAAAATATAAGACTTAGCCTTAAAATTGGAATAAACGACATATATCTTGGTTCCGAGCGCAAAGCTACCGGGAGAAATAAGTACAGTGCAAGTAAGCAAGAAAGTAAAATGTTATTTGAGCTTTTTGTGAAGTATAGTACATGCTTGTGAGAAAATTCGTCGTCCTACAATGATGATAGAGCTCATTATTTATAGTTACACTTAGGGAACAAGGTCCTAGGATTAAACTCCTCTTTAATGACGATTATGAGGGACATTGAAGAATGTGTAACTGTAGACAATGAATGCCATATTCTGTGTAACAAATCATGTACTTAATATTATAGAATATTATGTATTGAATGCTACCGGATGGCGATATTTATTTTGTCTTTATGAGTATCATTCTCTCCGATGACAACCGAGATCATTGCCTTCGGGTGTGGCTATCTTCTGTCTTTGGTTCCACGTGTCGCTTTCTCATGCGATCATTAAATATGAACATATATTACCTCATATACAAATATAAAAAGATTTTTTCCCAATATCAAATGCATTATATTCACATATATTGATTAATTGCATAAGTACAAGAGTGAGTTGCTTTAGTGGTGAGCACCCTCCACTTCCAACCAAGAGGTTGTGAGTTCGAGTCACCCCAAGAGCAAGGTGAGAAGTTCTTGGAGGGAAGGATGCCGAGGGGCTATCGGAAACAGCCTCTCTACCCCAGGGTAGGTCTGCGTACACACTACCCTCCCCAGACTCCACTGGTGAAATTATACCGGGTTGCTGTTGTTGTTGTATATTGATTAATTACATATGTATTCAAGGGATATATCCCCTTGACTTTTTCGTGAGTTTATCTTTTTATATTTTCAGCTCATTCATAAAAATTCTAGTTTGTCAGACATTCCTTGCAAGCTATTGGAAATCTTGGGATTCACATACTTAGTTGGGGACAATATTATATTTTTGGATTAACCTCTTCATTATGCTTTTTGGACAATATTATATTTTTGGATTAACCTCTTCCTTATGCTTTTTGGACAATATTATATTTTTGGATTAACCTCTTCCTTATGCTTTCTCTCTCAATTTCGCTAACATTATTTGGGATTTAATATTCCGCAATTGTTTGCTCTCTAGTGAACAAGTAGCACGCAGTACTTAGAAAGAGTACATATAGCTTCTATTACCACTAATCCATTATAACATCATATTATTGAAAAAGTAGCAGGACTTAGAAGTTGTCTGATCCCCGTTTTCTAGTTGGCTTTGTTTACCAAAAAAGGCCAAAAAGTGCTAGACGTGAGACATAGGTGCTAATTAGTTATAACATCTCTCAAAAAATCAGATGTTTCGGCATCCCAAAGTTCATCAAACCAGAATGAACTCATATCGAACTGGTCGATTGAGTCAAAGCTGGAATAATATTCGGAAATGTACTCATGAGAGTACTCAAACTGATCATGAAGTTGTTGGCAGTTGGAATTATAAGTACCACCATCATCTGGGTTGCTCTCCAATATAACAGGACTAATTTCCATCTCAATATTTGGTTGATCGACAACGTTGTAGCAATCTCCGTCTGTTTGATATAAACTCATAGTAACATCCATCATCTGATTTTCTTCACATGTAATAATACTGCTGCTGTCTGATGAAGAAACAGGATCAGGTGATCGTTTGTCGGCATTTTTCCTCTCATTTCCTTTGGTTTTCTTCAGTTCCCTTTTATTGCTTCTTGCCCTAGTAGTGCTCTTCAATACTCCCAAATGCTTCTTTAAGTGTGTATGGAAGAAGTTTTTAACTTCGTTGTCTATTCTTCCTGGCAATCTTGCAGCAATGGCTGACCATCTAGAGATAATATAATACACAACGACTTCTATTACATATTCTTTTCTGTTTATTAAAATTTCAAATCTTACAACAGCAAAAAAAAGAACTCAGAATTAGAAGTTCGTCTCACCTATTTCCAAGTTCCTGATAGGTTTTGACGACTATTTCGACTTCTTCCATGCTAAAGGGTCCTCTTTTAACATCAGGGCTAAGATAGTTCACCCATCGGAGCCTACAACTTTTCCCCGTTCTCCCTGCAATTCTGTATGTTCACGAGACTAATTAATTAAGTAGAACATATTAATGAACTTACACACTGAAATAATTAGGGTTACAAGTAGTTTAATGCATGTGTAGAAATATTAATGCATGCGTAGAAATCAAAGAATGAATTATCAGAATTAACATGTTGGATCTGATATTGGAAATTATTTGTAATGAATCAAACCTGCAAATTTGGGCATGTGGTTCCAATTCCAAATGCCATATCTCATGATATAAGATTTCAATTTTTGGTCTTCCTCTGGAGACCATGCTCCCTTATTTATCTCCTCCACGTTTGTGCTTTTCTGCTGCTGCTGTGGTGGTAATCTTGGCATATATGATTGCAGAGAAGCTTAAGTGATCACCTACTTCTTTACTGTTTTTTGTATCGTTTTTGGCCTTGCTTTGTAAACCTGAATTTATACAAGGGATATATTTCCCACCCACTGTATATATGAAATTCTTTAATAAAAGCCTTCTTTCCATGAAAGCTATAGGGACTCGATCGCTGCACTACATTTAATTTTGGTTTAGTAATTTGTCCCTTAGTGCTTTTCGTCTTATATCTTTTAATTTAAGGCTAAATTTTATAATAATTCTTTGAAGGAGTTGAATTTTTCTAGAGATTGGCCGTAGGGACAAGCTGTTAATATCAGATTGGGAGTTAGAGTAGGAAAAGGAAAAATGAATTCTGGCTTTCCCACATCAATCGTCAAAAAAAATATTCCTATTATAAATATATTATATTATGAATGTCCATTTAGTACTGCGTTGTAAATAAGTTTCCTGAAAAACTTATCCATATTGGATTCCGCCGTAAATATGTTATATATTTAGTACTCTATTGAAAATAAGCCTCCTGAAGAAGCTTATCATTTCGGCACTCCGTTGTGAATAAATATTACTTATGTAGAAGATTATCTATAACTGGTACAATAACAGCTTATAAGAAGCTTACACAGCACCTTGCAGTAGGAGCTTACAAGCAACTTATACAGCAGCTTACACAGCAGCTTGCAGTAGCAGCTTACACAGCAACATACAGTAGCAGCTTCTTTTCTTCTATAAATAGAAGAGATTTCAGTTCATTATGTACATCAGTTTGAAATTGCTTATTATATCAGTTTCTCTCTATACTTGTCTTTACTTTACTGTCTTTATTTTATAACAATTTCACCCGTTTTGGCTTGCTAGCTTCTGACGTTTACTGACTGTATGATTTTATTTGGTCACATTCTTTGTCACGACCCAAAATCCCACCATAGGGGTCGAGATGGCACTTAATCTCTAAGACTAGGTAAGCCGATTACAATTACATTTCAAGCCATTTTTTTTTTGAAATAGAATTTAATACAAGTGTCGAAACCAACAACGGAAATAATTATAACAACCTCCCAAGACAGGTAATAATGAGTCACGAACTCTAACTGAATACATGCAATGATCTCAAGGATCGAATATACAATATTGTTCGAATAAGAGTTAACAATACAATAAAATGAAAAGACTCCAAGGGATTGCGACGACCAAGCAGCTCTACCTTGAATTCTTGCGATCAACACAGTAACTCTACCCGAGTCTTATATCTCCAATACCTGGCTTTACACAAAAATATGCAGAAGTGTAATATGAGTACACCACAGTCGGTACCCAGTAAGTATCAAGATTAACCTCGGTAGATTAGTGACGTAGTACGGTCAAGACACTCACTAGTCAAATAACCTGTGCAATATAGCAGTATACAATAGTACTGAAAAATAACTAGCAATGATAGCAACAAAAATCAACCAGTGATATAAACAACAAGGCAACAAGAACACAATAATTATTGCTCAAATGAATATGGAATATAAGTACAACCAATTAATCAAGTCCTTCAAATATAAATCTTTCACATATAGTTCTTTCGAATAAATACCTTTCGAACATACTTCTTTCAAATAAACATCTTTCGAATATACTTCTTTCAAATAAATAACTTTCGAATATAAATCCTTTTACATAAAAGTCATTTGTGACACCTCATTTTATAATCATAAAATACGGGTCTCAACCCACTTTCATATTTTCACGGCACCTCATGCCCATATTTCAATCAAAATCGCACGGACAACTCACATGCCAACAATAAAAATCATTATATTTTCCAGGCACCTCGTGCCCACATTTCATATCACATATGCACGAACAGTTCATGTGCCAATAAGATAATCATTATATTTCACTGGCACCTCGTGCCCACATTTCATATCACATCTGCACGGACAGTTCACATGCCAATAACATAATCCTCCCGGCAATAGCCACATGCTCACAATTTCATTATAGATAAGACTATTATCAACTTTACTGAAACAACAAGCAAGTTGCACAAGATATAAAAATAAACACAAGAAAAATCACATCACATGAAAAGCACCAGCACAATAACCCCACATCAACACATAAAAATCACTAACATAGTAATCACACATCATCACATATCATCCCTGACAATAGCCACCTTTATCGCTCCTATAGCCACCCTTATCACTCCTATAATAGCCTCTCTTATCCCTCCGCCCTGACAATATCAATAGCCACCCTTATCGCTATTATAGCCACCCTTATCACTCCTATAATAGCCTCTCTTATCCCTCCGCCCTGACAATATCAATAGCCACCCTTATCGCTATTATAGCCACCCTTATCACTCTTATAATAGCCTCTCTTATCACTCTGTATAATAGCCTCCCTTATCACTCCGTATAATAGCCACCATTATCACTCCGCCCAGACAATATCCCAACATACATAACAATAGTGAAATACCACCCTTATGTCCACATAATATCAACAGTGTAATGCCACCTTATACGCCATATAACAATAACCCAAATCACACAACAATTCACACAGAATATTATCACGATAACAAAACATAATCAACTCGTATTTACAAATTGTCCATAGACCAAAACCTTTCCAAAGTTACAACGAAATTAATAAATTTCACAACAGATAGCCCACGGCTCAACACAATATATATAAAATCTCAAAAACAACAACAAGGATGGAAAAGTAACTCAGCAAGAACAACGCCTTCTTTAATCCATATTCTTGGTAATTAACTTAATACCTCTTTTCAAATTTAATTAATTAATTATTTGCAGATGAAAAATCCTTAGTAAAATTAATTCCACTAAACGGAAACTCAACAGAACATAGAATCCACATAAAAGTCAAGTGACAATTACACCAAATTATCATATAAAAGCAAACTCGGCAAACAAGGAATGAGGTATGACAAATAAAAGATTTAATAAGTACCAACAATTTTCTATTTAATACATAAGGGTGTCTACGAATTTTAACCAATATAATTTGCACATATAAACCAAGTACGTACTCGTCACCTTGCGTATACGGCTTTCAATCAAAACATTTCTACATAAGACTCAATGCCTAAGGGGTAATTCTCCCACTCAAGGTTAGGCAAGATACTTACATTTTTTAAGTTAGGTCGATATTCCAAGATAGCCTTTATGTGTGAAATGACCTCCTGACGGCTCAAATCTAGCCAAATTAATTGCATAACTTCATTAAAATTCATCGAAAATAATTCCGGATAATATAACGTCGACTTAAAATTTCACATTAAAAAGTAAACCCGAAAGTCAACGCGGGGCTCGTCTCTCGGAACCCGATAGAATTTTCACGAAATCCGAACATACATTTTGATACGAGTTCAACCATACCAATTTTATCAAATTCTGATAACAAATCGACCTCCAAATCATCAATTTAAGATATAGAAAATTTATACCATTTTCAACCCAATTCACTAATTTTATGATAAAAATAACAATAGATTCATGTATTTTAACCAAAATCGAGTTAGGAATTCTTACCCCAATATTTTCCTTGAAAAGCTCTCAACAATTGCCTCACCCGAGCTTTCTTCGTCCAAAAATTGAAGAATGAGACGAAGTCTCATTTTTTTATTTTATTCTACTTCCCAAGGGTTTGTTCTACGCATTTGCGACCCTCCCCTCGCGTTCGCGATGAACAAATTCCTCAACAGCCATTTCCAAACTTTTTCCAGACAACCTTTAGTATAATGGTCATAACTATTTGTACAAAACTCCAAATGACAAATGGTTTGACTTGCTGAAAACTAGACATCAAGAGCTACAACTTTATGTTTTGATCATCTCCCAATTCCTAATATATTGCGAGGTATAAGCTTCCAAAGTCCTCCCTATGCAGCAGAAAATTCTTCTTCGCAATTTCTAAACTCTTTCCAGACAGCCTAAAGTGTATCAACCATAACCTTTTGCAAACATCTGCAAACACCAAACAATTTAATTTTTTGAAACTTAGATACAAAAAGATACAACTTTCGTTTTGGGATCACCTCCAAATTCCTTATAGAATGCAAGATATAAGCTTCCAAAGTCGGGTTAGTGCAACAAAATTTTCCTCTACGTGATCGCGAAAATCCTTCCTCGATCGCGATTCACAGGCCAATATTTCCCATTTTACTCTTAGTGATCGCGGCCAATACCCCGCGCTCGAAATGCATATTGATGTAGCCAAAAACCAATAACTAAAAATGGCCTAGAAATGGTCCGAAACTCACCCGAGCCACTCAGGACCCCATTCGAATATACCAACAAATTCCATAACATAATATGGACTTATTCGAGGCCTCAAATCACACATAACAATATCAAAACTACCTCGATCCTATGAATCGCAACCCAAATTCAAGCCTATGAACTATGAACTTCCAAAATTCGAAATCGATGCCGATTTATATCAAAACAACTCCGATTGACTTTAAATTTTGTACGCAAGTCATAAATGATATTACAGACCTATTATAACTTACAGAATCGTATTTCGATTACGATATCGATAAACTCAATTCCCGATCAAACTTCCAAATTCCATTTTCCAACTTTCGCCAATTTATGTCGAAACGACCTACGGACCTCCAAATCAATATCCGGTCGCGCTCCTAAGTTTAAAATCATCATACAGAGCTATCCGAATCATCAAAACTCCATTCTGGAGTCGTTTACATAAAACTCAAACTCCGGTCAACTCTTTTCGCTTAAGCTTTAGAAACAAGAGTTGTTCTTTCAAATTGATCTCGAATCATCCGAAAACCAAACTCAACCACACATGCAAGTCATAATGCACATCACAATGCTGCTCGGGACCTTAAGTCGCTGAACGAAATGCTAATTCACAAAATGACAAGTCGGGTCGTTATATTCTCCCCCTCTTAAACAAACGTTCGTCCTCGAACGTGCCAAAAATCTTTCTGAGGACATTCAATTACTGAGTGTATTATTACACACATACTCGCGGGT